AATCTAGTTGTGAAACGCGTTCAATTTCTATTTCATTGCAATTATGACTGAAATTTGAAGATCTAGACTTGAAATTTTTCGTCAATCATTTTTTTTTTCTGTATTTCTGTGTTACACTGAGTGACGCACAAAAGATCTTACTTCCACTTAAATTAAGGAGTATATAGATTAACTACTATAAGGTTATATTTTAAAACCAAATGCCTGGTCTAAAGAGCAATAAATGTCGTTTTTTTCTGATGTGGGTTAGGAATTAATATCGATGAAAGTGCTTTATAAAACCAGCAAGAAAACAACCATTACGGTATCAAATGATTAAAAAATAAAAAATAACTAACTTTTCAAAGCGAGGAACTTTAAACTAATTTCATTCCATAAACTTTTATTTGAATAAAACTCTAGTATTTTTGGTTCGTATTCCGGTTTCGAAAAACCAACGTGCTTTCTATGCAAATTTATTCTGTAAAAAACAAATACTTTCAGAATTCCTTGGTGACTTGTCAGCAATAAGTGAAAGCTTCCATCTAACAACAAAATAAACAGAATTAATTTGAATTGACAAAATGTCGCCCTTGCAAACTTTGTTTAATTTGCATTTTTGATCCGCAAGTTTGTATGGATAACTTAACGGGCCTCGCCAAAATTTCAAATACTGATTTCTAGCAAGTGAAAATAAAAATCCTCAAATCTTTTTCGAATAAGACAATTAAGCTCTTCCATAACGGCTTATGTCTGCCAATGGTCGTATTTATTGTTCGTTTGTTCTCGATCATTTTCATCCAATCTGTAAACTATTGTTCAACGATTAACCAAACAATTTACTATCTTCCTTTCTCATGATCGAATGAACCTTTCACGAAATATGAAAATCTATATTTCTTCGTTGAAAAAAATAGCTAATCAAAACTGGTTTATATAAAGGTAAAGGTAAATGTCAATTTATTTATTTTTCGAAAGATTTCGCGACCAGGCATTTAAGTTTTAAACATTTAACCTCGAAATTCAGTTGGCGACACAAAGTAGTCGATATAAGATAAAAGATTGCATTCAAGCAATTCCTTGTAAGAAAAGCAAATGCTTCCTTCTTTGAAAAAAAAAGCCAATAGATCTCCTATTCTATTCAGATGATGCTTTTGGCCAAATTTATCTCTTGTAAGCATTCTGTAATCAGTCGAGTGTTGTGATCGTCCGGGTAAGATTTGTCCTAAAACGTCTGCTGTCGGAATTAGTGCCTAGCTTGAGCAGAAATCATCGTCAGATTCAAGTAAAGCCGGAGTTTGTTTGTTAGTCGAACTCTCCAATTTTAGTTCGAAAGCAAATTTATCAATTTTTGAGTGAGGTAAGTTGCTGTCTGACTAAAATGGTGTTTGGTCGGCGAGGTCAGAGTTCGGTCTGTTGTTGTCAACTGGTCAAGATGAGTCTTTGCTTGGTTACAAACTAGATTTTCAAAGTCTGTCGTTGAAGATAGTTTTTGTAATTTGGCCAGGATTGACATCGAGCAGCGCAGCAATCAGTTGTGTAGTTTGTAAGTCTGTGGTATTCAGCGATGTAACTTTTGGAATAAACGGCGAAAGAGGTTATTTATCAAAGATGTCAAATTTGAATATCATTTGGTCTTTGTCCGAAGTCCTTTGTCGAATTGCCACCTTAACAAATATCACCTTTGTGCGACATCAACGAGGATATTGCTGTGATAAGAACTGTTAATTTTAAGCAGACTAAAAAAAGAGCAATCAGCGTTTCGACTTAGCGAATTTGGTTTCAGCTTCCTGTGTCCAGGTTTACATTAATTCAATTTGTACCTTTGGTTAATTCTATGTACCGAAATTGTCCAAAATTAATGCACCAAATTATAACGAGTAGTTCCTATCAATCAAACGATCGCTCAAGGTCTGCATAACAATCCGTACCACAACAAAATCTTTCCAAACATGATGGCTAATTAAAAACTATTAACTAACTAGGTAACCAGTTTTATCTATTCCATGACAATTCGTGAAAATATGGAGACTTCGTACAATAATGATACATTTTAAGAGCCACCATTTTTGCTCTTATTACTCAATAATTTCAAAGTTCTTATCTTTGCAGTATCCACGGAAACATTTGATGATTGCAGTGTCTTCTCTTGACCAGACGCTTTGTTCTTTCATCCATTTAACAGCATTGCTCCTCCTGAAGTAGAAATTATGAATGTGATCAGGGAATGCCTCATTTCTAAAAAGATGGACAATCTTGGGAACGCAAAATTAAAAACCTACATAATTTAATCGCTCTTTGACAAAATTAGAGAAAAAGGGAAAGCACGAAAACTTTTCGAATTGTTATGATGAACCAAAGGCCACCGAGTAGGAAGTTGTCGCACATCCAAAGTTCCCTACTGATTTTAGACCCCAAAAATCTTGATAGAACGTTTCTCCAAAAATATTTCACAATTACAGGTTTTGCTTTTCTCGAAGCCAGCACCCTGATTCGTTGAACTTCGATTTCGAGAGCTACTCAAACCACGTAACCGACTCGTTTCGACTCGTTCAAGTGTCACAATGCGACTCATTTAGCTCTCTAAACTAGTTTAAGGCAATATCTTCCAAAAGGAAAGCTTACCTGCTGTTATAGTGATAAAGGACTGGTTTTTGTTGCTCTTCTTTCCAGGTCAAGCGCCCTCTTCCTTCCAGAGTAAAACTTTGTTTTCAGCTCTACAGACGACACCTCTTTACTCTTCGACGGACAGCGTGGTTTGCTGAGAATTCTAAAATTTCTGTTGAATATGGATTAACAACTGCAGCCAATTGTCGGTTGATACGTCACAGATTTTTTGCAGAGTTTTGTTCGCACGCTTTGTCAAATATTCAAGAATCAAGCTGAATGAAAGGCATTGTGATTGGCGAATTTGCATGTGGCAGAGGAAAAATGAACTGTATAATTGCATTTTTGGGATTACTTTGTGAGTAAGAAAATACTCTGACATCGAAAAAGGATTAATAAAATTACTCCGTAAAAGCTGTGACTTAAACGGTTGAAACTGATTTAAAACGATTGATACAATTAATCATCGTATATCTCAGTGATAAATAAAGAAACATTAAAGCCTTATTCTGACGTTGTATGACTAAATACAAAAATCGTAATTCTCCTGACCGATGGAGGAGAATTGATGTAAAAGCAATTCAAAAATGATGACGCCGCACTAGTCAATCTCTTGTGTAGGAATAGCAAGATTGAAAATACACAGAATGAGTAAAAAGTGTTGTCAGTTGACTACACAGGGAGAAAGCCACATTAACACCTGGGTCAGTAATTATTATCATTTGAGTGACCAGCCGTACCCTGCATCAAGCTGCAGTGGTTCTAAGAGTTAAGCTTAAGACTCATAGTAGGTAAAAAAAAAATGAGAAACAAGCTAAAAGGTTATACAAGGTTCTAAGTCACCCTGAGAGAGATCCAGTCACTTAAATGCCTCGTTCAAAACGCTGAAAAACGTTTTATACATAGAAGCATATAAGCTTGTTGATTTTGATTTTGTGATTTTCAAGCGGGCGGAGGAAAGCGCCAGTCAAGCGCGAAAAAGCGCAAAGTCTGGATATGCCTAACAGGAGGAGCGCGTATATAAAAAAGTATTCACTTGCGTGTGTCTTGCCACTTGCGTGTGTCTTGCCACTTGCGTGTGTCATGCCACTTGCGTGTGTCACGCCACTTGCGTGTGTCACGCCACTTGCGTGTGTCACGCCACTTGCGTGTGTCTTGCCACTTGCGTTTTCCTCGCGCTCGTCTCTCACCTCCCTCTACTGGCATGTAAGCACCAAAGGAAAAAAACAACATTTAAAGGAGGCTCTTTGACCCTAGGGATCTAGGGAGGCACGTCTATCATACGAAGTCTTGATTTAAAACGATTATGGCGACCACAATTGCTTCGATTCCGGCCCAGTAACTCAGCTTACATGGGATGATGTGTACTAAAATCGCACACCCTAGCTGTTTTAATACGCAAAACCCTAAGAAGCAAACCTTGTTTGGTGGCAATCACCCTTTCGGACCGAATGAAGATATGTCCTCCCCAACCCTTAGGAGGGAGTACTCCTTGAATACTGTGTCCTCATTAGCGTACAGATTGAAATGTTTCATAATTACAATCAAACATGAAAATAAAGGAAGACAAAGGGATGAAGACACAATGAAGTAAAGGCTGACAGAATACTGAAGAAATCTGATTCTAATTACAGTCTAATGTTAAAAGAATTATACAAAGAAAATATTTAGGACTTACCGAATCCATGCAACATTAGTAAATCATTCAGTGTTTGTCAGCCCTTGTAACAGATCCTTTCATTTCAGTATCCTCAAACTAGACTAAGGTTTTCCGAAAAAAGTAATTGAAGTCAACCAAACAATATCGCATCCGCCACGGTTTGGTGTTAAACAAAGGGTAAAAGTTCCAAACAATACTTTGTCGTCGCCATGTTAACATTTTCGTTTAGTTTCCAGTACCTCCGCGTTAGAGAAATTTGCGCGGATTCGCGCATTCTAATTTGTCCTACACTTTGCATTCAGGTTCTGCAAACAGACAAAATGGAATTTTAATGTTTTTCAAAATAGGCAAATAGCAATAGACTGAGAAATTCAGCCGGGGCGAAGGACGTGAAAAGCAGTGGAATAGAAAAGGAGAATACAAAGTAATTGTCTGCTCGGCATGATCATTACACATAGAGCCACCAGGTTTGAAGCAACCTCATCTTGTTAAATTTCATTTCTCGCTGCTGTGCACCAGATCCACCTGACACGCAGCACGCGCTACATTCGCTTCAGATAAATGAAGAATATACTTAGTCACAAATAGATTGTGACAGGCATTCAGTTTTTAAACAGAGAGGAAACGGCGTAAGTGAACAACCTCATTGTATGTTGAAAATATTTTCATATTTACATCTTTGCACCATAGAATATTGCGTTTGTGAATAGAATAAATTTGTCTATCAAAACAAAGGAATATTACACATAGAAAACCCGTTAATGAAATTGAAAAACCCAAAGAATGTTCCATTTTTTCACAAATTACCATTGTTCAAATTGATTACTGTTATTCATATTAATTACTGCATAAATAAAATTTTTATTCCACACTTATAAATGTCCAATAATGCAGATGCTTGTCTGGTTATGATTTAAAAAAAAGAAACTTAACTCCTTTCCATCAGCCATTAGAGCTCTTTTCACTCCGACGGAAAACCAGATCGAGCTCAGCCTCAGAACGTCTCAGAAGAGAGACTTCCGTTCAAGACACTATGAATAGATAAGTCTAATGGTTTGACATATTTTAAGGCCCGAAGGCCTCCACAAGTCCTCTAAGCTCTTAGAAAAAAAAACCCTGAAATAAATTGGCCCTAATGAAATGTTAGTGATTCTCAAGCTAAATATGACACATAAAAATCAGAAATTACATGATTTCAAGAGTCTGCGATTCACCTCAGTTGATCATGAAGTTCCAAAAATTTTTTATGGATTAACTCGATATAAATCGCGTTTGATCTTTGTGTTATAATTTATTGAAAACAGAGCTCAACTGCTATGAGTCAGCTTATGAACATTTGTCTCTCGTATCCATTTTTAACACGGTTCAGTTTTCGAGAAGTAAAGGTATCAGCAAGTGATTTTACTAAAAGAAACGTCTCCTAGACTTTCTTAGCATCCGCCTGAGGTTTCGGCGATTTTTTCTCCCAGTGTTTGGCAGTGGGTATCGCAGGAAATAACTGCATTTATTCTTGCGATTGGCACTCTTTGCTCCGCTCAGTGGGTGACCACGCTTGGAGAAACCCAAGACCCACTGTGGATATCTCGCCGATCTATATTGGTCATACCCCTTAGCATCGTCTTGATAAAACTCGCACCTCTTCATCCTGGAATATTTTTGCTTTTTCATCTAGAATGAAAATGGATGGATAAAAAAATGATTATGGTGCATGGTTTGGCGCGCGTAGATTAAAATGGGACGTGCAAAGCTTCTATAAGGAACACGTCATCATTTATCGTCTGGTGGGGGGAGGGGGAGGGGGGCTGGAAGATTTTGGTTGTGTCACGATAAAATTCACCTGATCCCCTGTAAGGCTCTGGAATATTCTTATGACCCCCACCGCCTTGGCAGTATTCATGACTGATACCCCTCCTGAAAACCATGTGATACCCCCTAATCCTCCAAACCCCTATCCCCCAAGAGGTACGTAATGACCGTTCCCTAATGTAAGTTCGTCAAAATGCTTCAAGTCGCATGAAAGTCGAGGAGACTCAAGGAAATAGATGAGTAACAGTCAATGGTGAGGATCGAAACAGGGTGAGTCCTCTGGGAAAGAGCACTCTCTTAGAGCAACTCCAGTTCTACTTCTTAACTTACATTGCTCATTTAATTTTGTGGGGCCTTCTGGCTGTTCGTTAGTCCATGATACATTGTCCGTCTCAGATGTATAACACGTGTGGGATGACTTTAACGTCTGTCAAAAGAAATACTGTGGCCATGATTAAGGGTAAGTTGTTGATCTATGAAGTCATTTCCAAAGCAGCGTCAGTTGTGTTTATAGCACGTAAGAGGAGATTTTCTCACCCTTGCGACGATATGTCCTTTCTTGTTTAGGCAGAGGTAACGGTTTGCTTTCACCCCTCGGATGGTTACAAGACTTGTCAAGCCACCCGTCTCAAGCTTCAGTAAAGCTACAGAATGAATGCAGGGCGTGGTTAGGGTATTACGCCAAGGCCCGATAACTTCCCTATTAACAAGTGCACTTCGGTCGCACGTCGGGGATCCGATCGTATATACAATCCCGAGAGTGGTTTGCTAATCTGTATATGTTCCTACAGGCAATGATCAAAATTTCAGACAGTCGGATATTTACCAAAAAAGATTATGGCTACAGGTGCAAAATTAGCCTCTTTAGTTGACACCTTTATTCGCGCACTAGAAAATGTGGTGTTCATACGACGGCCACAAAGAGCATTGAAGAAGCCGTTAGACATCTAACGCGACATAAACTTTCTCGCACGCACAATAAGACCACTGGCCACTCAAGCTAAAAGTGCAAAGTACTCGCATACGCGTAAACCGTTAACTCAGTCCCTACTTCACTACCGTGTTTTATATATATATGTAAATATACGGTTTGTATGTCATAGGTTGATGAAAATAAGCAGGGGTCAGTTGCTCGAGGTACCTATGATTTTAAGGGCTGGAAGCCATATGTTGAGAATTGGATTAAAGGAAAAGTAGAGCGAGTCTTCGCTCGAAAACCATCTCATGCTGTTCCCTGTCCTGATATTCCTGGTGTTCAAATCTATAAATATCTCGACCTTCACTTGTTAAACACGACATAGAAAAAAATAGTTTTTCCCGGGAGACGTGACAAGCCAGTCCGATTTGACGCATTTTATGCCCATAGTGATTGGGATGACCTCGTTGATGTAAGGTTCGACAGTCACCCTACACCGGAACCCACCCAAACCACAGGGAAGTATTGGCCTAGGGGGTTTAGTTTGTTTTACTTTAATACAGATGACCCTCTCTTCGACATCTAGTAAGGAATGGTTTAAATCAACTACTGATCATGCTGATTATCTAAAGATAATCTGGCCCCCGGCAGAAAAAGGATCAACTAAAATATTGTGTTAAAGGTGAGAACGGAAGGAAAATATCAAGTTCCATTTCCCGAACATTTGTTATCATTGTAGCCTGCTTTTTCCTTGCGTTTGTTACGTCTTTTGGGTGTGAGAATCAGTGAAAATTTTCTATTGAAAAGCACTGTTTTTCTTTTATATTCCACGGTAATTAAAGCAGAAATATCCTTTTTCATCCCTAAGGAAAATAATCTCAGATCCCTGCCTAATCGAGATCCTCTCTTGGTACGATCTCCTCGACGAAATAATATGTTCGGTTCTTGTTCTTGTCTTCATTATTCACGCTTTTTTTATTTCTCAAGTTCCTTTTAATTTTTAAACTCAGGGAATTCTTTCTCTCTATCCTATTCGTTTATGTTGACTGAGGCAACGAAACCAAAGATTTTCTGTTTTAAGTCCTTTTTTTTTCTCACAGCTCCAGGCAAAAAATCCTCAGTCGTTACAAGAGAGCATATAGGTTTGAAGGCCTTTTCAGGGGTCCCAACCAGTATGTTTAATTTAAAACGGGACATACAACAGATGAGCGAGGAAGAAGCAAAAGTAAACTTAATTGTACTTAACTCTCCTGTCTCTATACGTAATGTCAAAACCACACACACGCAAAGTCGTCATTCATACCATATTGTGAACCATTCACGCCAGTAGCATCAACTCTGGTCTTCTTGATTTGAATGTATTTTCCCGTGGCTCTTGAATAGATTTGAACAAATATGTGATTCGTATGAGTGGATGTACCGTTCAAATCATATGGAATTGGCAAACATCGATGTCTCCCGAACTGGAACCAAAAGGAAAAAAGAGAGTTAGACCCGTTAAATGCTACTAGATTGACACATAACACTGGCAAATTTCAGTCCATCTTACCTCCCTGTGTTTGTGCATGTTTTTAGGACAAGGTTCAGGATACGCTTTGGTAGACAACGCATGTGTATCTGGACTGACACAAAAAGATGTTAATGGAACCTGAAAAATTAAAAAATCAAAAGGACCAGAAACATCGTTAGAGAAGCAGTTGTGATGACTCGTGCATAGCATGCTCGTTTTGATTCTCAAATCGATTCTTCAAGTAACATTACTTACAAGATTAAAATCAAACCACAAGCACTTAGTGATGACAAAATAATCTGCATCTCCGATGTTAAGAAAGAGGTCAGTATTTTCAACCACAACCGTGCAAATGAGATGTGTAAGCTGATGAAGTTTGGGCGCATTGCCTCCTCTTATTCCGAAAGAACGTAAATGATACTTACAACAAACGCGTGAAACTTTCACGATTACCCCCCGGAGAAGGAAAGAGACTTCCTCTTTTACGGTGAGATTTACAAATATGTACTCGAGGAACACAGCCGTCTTTCATTACAGCCCAATGGTGTTTTACTGACGATAAATGTTCGTGAGACGAAAGTAGCCGTCATACTTACCGTAATCACAACATAGACAAAACCGTTCTATTTAACATGAAAGCAATAAACATACATAAGGCGGATTTTCTCGACGTCACTACGGGAAAATCGGAGTACCGGTTCATCAAAAAAGCATCTTTAAAAAATCACGAAATTCAATTGGCCCCCGTAGTTACTCTAAAAGATCCAGTTTCAATTTTTGTGGACTGTGGACATATGATGGATTAATAAGTAGTACAAACTGGGTAAATAAACACGAGAACATCACTGACGATGAATAAAATCACTCACACAAAAACCGTTATATTCATCATAGAAACGATATCGAGCGCGGAGTTTCTCAGTCGACGTCTTACCAGGAATCAGACAAAGGTTCATTTCAAAACAGCACACGATATTCCGAACTTAGACTACCCCGTAGCTGCTACATTAGATATCGTTTCGCGTTCAAGAACTAATGAACATAATAAAAAATTTCCAACCGGGACGATTTGACAATTAAGAAATGATTACTCCTTTAATTGATTTATAAGCTGTTTTGAACACGCCCACGGTGGCTTTCTAAAGGGCGGATTACCGGTTTAGTTTCTATTCTACGGAAATTATTGAATCCAGAATTAAAAAAAAAAAAGCTTGCCTAAACAATCAAAACAGCTGTCTCGAAATCTATTCGACAGATGTTTTGAAAAAAAGTGCAATAACTGCGCAATACTGATTACAATTATAAACGCTTTAAAAATGGCCATTTCTTTTTCTTTAAATAAGTATAAAACACGCGATCATACCAAAGTGATTCATTTTGCTTCTATCAGGTGGGTTAGTTTGAGGTTACTTTCCACCTTCGCGGATGTCATTTGGGAAAAAAATTCGTACGCGCTAATTTAGGCGATTTTTTTATTTAGGAAGCGTAAGGAGCCAGTGAGGTGTGAAACGAACGAGGGTCTTTCTTTGAAATTGATTGGGTATTGGATCCCGCAGCACGAGCAAAATGGTTGCACAGTCTTATTCACAAGGCATCAATCAACAAAAGCGTGTCAGGCTTTTCCGATATTCTGATTAGTTGTCTAGATATTCGCATCCAATGTTAGAGAAGCGTAAAATATGCGAAAGTGTTGCGTAAATGGACACCACGTGAAAAATATTGCAAATATCAAAATTTCCTGACTCACTGTCGTTCGTCATTATCCCTGAAATGTTTTGGCGAAATTTCACGAAAATCGGCCAAATCTACATACTCTATAAAATCGCTCAAAGTGGATATATTTTTCTCAAAATCAAATGCGAGATTTTAGCTCCTAAAGGTCGCCACACCAGGAGATTAGGGAGTTTAAGCAAATCACTACGGCTGGCGCTGCTACGGCTATCGTGGTTGACGAGGCTTGGGGAGAGTACGTCGCCGTAGCCCGCCAAAATTCAACTTTAAGCAACGCGAACTACAAACCTAGTACGGCTGAGAAGTTTAAAACCAATAAATTAAGCGTCTTCGCGGTAGTTTTTGCACGTCTAAAAACTCAAAATGACTTCGTTCAAAGGGACGAGGGATTCCAACGTTTGGAAAAAAAAATTGTAAGCGATCCTGTGCACAGTGAATGAGTGAATTAAAATATTTAAGCTTACGTGTTGTAAAATTGCCAGTTTGGAGCTTATAAACACCAAAGCAAAGTTTCTACACGGTCCCTCATAACCCTCGTCATTCCTCGGCTTCAGCTATTTGAATTTCAAGTAGTCTTTGAGGTTTGAAAAGGAAAAGTTAGACTTTCTAC